AATCGGACATACTAGCCTTTATTGGGCTAGTACGAAAGCGTAGCGACGCAACCAATGTTTTAAGTATATTATGTACAAACCAAATAGGTTCAACCATTAAGACACAACTACAACAAAAGAGAACCTGTTCAGATACTCCTTCCCATTCCTTCCAGAGCTATTCTCTTGGTGGTCGGACAGTATGTGTATTGTTTAGTTGTAGTAGGATTTTGGAATGATACGGTCAATTTGTCATGTGTTAAATTAATAATCTAATCTCGTTAATACTAAATTACTGCTACGTTTAAGAGGAATAACAATGTTATTTTTATTTACCATTAGTTTTTATGAGGGAAATTAGTTAAAACCAGTAAGAGCGCTAGGACAAGTAGTTTAAGACAGCTATACTGACACTTGACCTCATGACTGCAGACAATGTTTTTGAACTATGTTCGTAGAGAATATCTATCGATCGATAGATATTCTCTACGTAATGTTTAGTTCAAAAACATTGTCTGCAGTCATGAGGGTTGCATCAATTGTCCTCACGGCCTGCGTGAAGGCGCTAGAATAGATGAAATATGAAATTCTACTAAGCGATGTCTACATCATTAGTTAAACCTAAGAAAACTTAGTATGTTGTGAGTCAGTAGTGGAATGTCCTTTGCCTAGCATCCACCCGCTTCCTGCCAACACTATTTTAAGATTATTGGAAGAGGGTGGGCCCTATGAACAAACTTGAAGGGGCCCGCGGGTTCTTATTGCTGACACTGCTTTCAAGATCCCATGTCAACGTGTAGTAAAATTATTTTCATGTTCTGAATGTAGCAGATTATCATCATATATATTAAAACAAGACAGGCTTTTTTTTGTTTCACGATTCTGAATCAACCACTTGACGGATTTTCATGATATTTGTGTTGAAAGAAAGATAATTTTGAGAACTAGGGAATTTCAAAGCCATAATTTTAGTTTAGGGTTTAAGTTTTTTAGAAATTAAGTTTTAAATTTTAAAAAGTCTAGCAACCGACGCTAACATTTTACTATAGCTTTTGATATAATACCATTTGCTGTAAACATAACAGCTGTAAACATTCAGCGTTTTCGACACAAATTCAGCATTTGGATGAAAATTAAATTACATATGTAGAATTGACTTATTTATACTATGTGTAATGCTATAATCAATGATACATTCATTTATTTGGTAAGAGGATGAGAGATTATTTAACCCTAGAACGGCCACATAGAGTGTTTCTGTAGGGCCAGGCAGTTTTTGCCTTCCGTGCAGCATTTTACTCTCACAGTTGTAAAACCCTTATTTATTTACCAAAACATATAATATTTTATACCATCAGATTCGGGACATTCTAGAGAATATAAATATATCAATCAAATACAAAAATCTAGTTCAAAAACATTAATTTTTTTAACAAAAAACAAAAATCCTAAATTTACAAAAACAACATTTCAAAAGTATGGACGCACAAAAAATCAAATTTTTTTTCTTTTCAAAAATTCAAGATATACAAATTGTTTTAATTTGATTTCCCTACATAAATATATCAAAACATTTGAAACTAATATAAAACATTTTGAGTTAAGTTCAAAAGTGTAAAACTCTGCACTTTTTCTGAATTTTACATACTTATATACTTTTTAGGCCTACTTTTAGAAATAGATCAAAAACATGAAAACACATATTTTCTGTTAGGGAAGTAAACAAGAAACAAAAAAAACATATGATTTTACATGCAATAGCTAAAAAATAAATATAGTATTTCACTTGGAAAAAAGAAATTTGTTTTTACTTACGGAAAATCACAAAAAAACTTTAAACTTCAAATGTAAGTAAAAAAATAAATATTTAGATTATACGAATTTCAAGATATGCAAAATGTTTGAAATGTTACGCTTACTTAGAAAATATATAGTTTATTTGATATAAAAAAATATTGTTATTTTCTGAAGCAACAAAATATAAAAAAAGAGCACATTTTTGGATCCAGCACTAAGTTTTGCTCAAAATTGTCTACAAATTACTCTTCCTTTCTTGATTATAATGGATGATTGTTGCTGTTTACCATAAAAAATAAGATCTATTTAGCAAAATAATAAAACTTGTATACTAGGTAACCATAGAATCAAAAATAAATGTTTAGTTTATAAACCAACAGCTGCACGCACCCAAATAATGAAAACATCTGACCGCGGCGCGACAGGTGTTTGGACATTGCATCAGTTTGACCAAAAAGAAAAACAAAAATATCACTGAAAGAAACTTTCAACTGTAGTAAGTTCGAAAGAGGATTTCTTCCCCTTTATTTTCATATGTTTCTTTTTTTCCTTGTCAAAATACATGCAGAGTCATGAATAGTTTTCCAAAAGACTAAAAAAGTCGTTTGGCCATATAGAAAACTCTTACGCAATTTGTTTATAGAGGCTTTGTAAAAAAATCACAGCTTGTAAACTAACAATGCTAGACAAAATCTATCAACGGACAGAATGTAGAGAAATAATCCCTGGAATCAGTGGTACTAATCATAATGATCTACGACGTAGAATAGCTTTGCCAGGTATTTTAGAAAATGGCTGATTTTGCCCAGGGCCGGACTTACCTATGGGCGAAGGGGGCGAACGCCCGGGGCCCCCTTTGTACAGTAGTTTTTATCATTAACTTCGAAAATTGATCAGACACTTACCAAATGGCCTTCTTTTGTAACAGCTTTATTTTCATTTTCGCTATCCTATGTTCAAGGCTATTGTTAGGTGCATTTTAAGGCATTACTAGGAATGAAATTCTTGACCCTAAGGGACTTTTTCTCAGAGTTGCACTGGCCCAACGCTTAGGCCTGGTTTACACAAGCATATGTGCTAGGCTGTGACGGACAAGTTTCAGTTTCAATGAAGCCGCTCGCCCGAACGTACGGCCGCGGCGAATGAGTTGAAGGGGGTCCCGCGCTAGAGGCAAAAATACAATAAATATGAAAACTCTTGTCCCAACGTAGAACGTAACTTGTAAAATTGTGTTGTTTTAAATGGAGATTCACTGGTGTTCAAATACTTTAAAAAATAAAAATATTGCTCCGTTTATGTTTTATTAAATGTTTTTCTTTTCTTTTACCTCTAAGTATATACCAATCAGGATTTTAAGGGGTAGAAGTATATTATCCGTCCAATTTAAAGGTTTTGTAAAATAGTAATTAATTAAGTTATGCGTCAAAATTTTGATCTCCAATTTAGTCTTTGGAGTCAAATTCAAAATAAGCGAATAAGCAGAAGCAGCTGCAACAGTAAATGATAATGAGCTGATAAGGCATCGATATTGGATCTATTTAAACATCTTTCAGTTTCTCATATAAATAGTTAGCTTGTGAGTGTTTATTAGACATTGCAAGATTTTGCTCGTCAATAAAAAACTCAACCTTGAAAGTCCTCAATGGTAATTTTCATGCTAGGACTTTAACATATTATAAAAACGAGAATGCTATAGGTACCAAAAACATTATGAAAATAAAATAATCACACCTATATTGTAGTAATATTGAAAAACCATACAAATCGTCGGCAATAATCGATAATTTAAATACGTAATAAACAAAAATATATCAATACTTCTAATCCAAATATATTATGGTAGCCTACCATGCTACCATACCAAATATGCCGTCACTGGTACTACAAAGCAATACATTTTTATTTTTGTGTATAAAATTAAAATATGTAAAAATAGTTATATTTTAGGAACAATTTTTTTAATAGAACTTATTGCTTATTTGGCCTTAAATTGCTCTATTTGAAGCCTGGACCCCCCAATCTCACTGGAGGACCCCCCCCCCCCCAAACTGAAATCCTAGGGCCCCATTGGAAAATTTGCCCGGGGCCCCTGTAGTCCTGAGTCCGGCCCTGATTTTGCCTTTGCTGCCTGATCGATAAAGCCCGCGAGGCGCGAAACTCAAATATGTGTTATGTTTATTTACTTTTCCTGCGTTATTAGTTACGTAAATGTGTATAAAATGTATGGAAATTGTAGCTCATTTGATTGTCTTTCCAATGGTATAATCCGTGTTGTGATTACTGCATATTATCAGTTCCAAATATTTGCTAGAAAAAAAGTCTGTAGCAAACGACTAAAAAAGTTGTTTGGCCACCATCTTACCGTAACCCAACGACTAAAAAAGTCGTTTGGCTGTTCTAGGGTTAAATATACATAGTAAACTACTAGATGTTCTAATTATTTTTTTTTTTATTTAGTTTTTCCTTCTTATTTAGTTTGTTTTAGTGCAATATAATTTGTTATAACTAACAACTGGTTGAATAAAAAGGTATTCTATAGAACAATGAGGTTAGTTTATTTACCCTTGTGATTTTGTCATTGATTATAGGAAATGATTATAGGAAAGGTTGGGAAAATAACAATCATCACATGTTTTAATTCATCTTGGCAGCTTTTTCTTTTTACTATAAATTTTGAACTGCTTAAACTATGCTTGAATTAGTAATAGCCACACTAACAATTTAATGGACTACTCAATTCCCGTAAGTAGGACGGGCCAACAGCTCGTTCAGTATTATAATCTAATAGATTAGGTACCAAACTCACCATCACCAACAATGAACTTCAAACAAAGAATCTATCTAATAGACTTGTTACTAAAATAAAAAAAAAACATTTTAATGAGCTTATGCATAATTTATTTTAAGCAACAGTTTGGCTAGTAATTATTAATACCGTATTTCATATAAGGTGTCACAAAGTTAGAAAAAAAAGAAAGTCAGAGAATATTTACATTTTTTTTAGCCCAGAATTGTTTTTCACATTACTTAGGTAACCTAGGGGTTACGGCATTATCACATAGATAAAATCCATTGGTGATTTGGCGGGATTTGAACCCGGGACACCAGGAACCGGAGTCCCGCGCTCTAACCACTAGACCAGCTCGCTCCCCAGAGAATATTTACAATAATAATATAAAATGTAATAAAGAAAGAAAATGGAGAACTTTGTTTACAAAACTTACCTATTTATTTTGATGTAGTAGAGCACTCAATATTCATAAAGCCTTGTAATATGGTAACAGAGCTTTTTTAATTTATTTTCCCATTTATTTTTCAGTATGCATTCTTGACGACATAGTTTCTTCATTTCTTGCTTTTGGTAGAATTTATTCTTTTGTAAGTTTGCCTTGGTAACGCCAAAGACATTTCTACATTACACAGTTCATTTTCATGAAAATTACTGTTCTCCTTAGAAGTCTGTTTCTTGCCGTTCCTATTTTTACAAGGCTGTTTTAAACCATTATTGCTTTTAAAACTTTCTTCATTATGTTTCTGACCGTTCATTTTTTCACAAGGCTGTCTTAAACCCTTATTGCTTTTATAATTTTCTTCGTTTGCCAATACTTTGGAACTATCAATCAATTTTGCCTTCTTTCTTTCAGGTTCTGCTTTTATTTTTGCCTGTTTTGCATCTTTTAACTTGTGTTTTTTATCCAAAGAGAGATGAGAGTTACTTGGCATCAAAGGGGTTTGTTCACTTTCTTGAAATGTGTTATTTATGGCTAAATCTGTCTCATAGTCACCAAATATGTCACCCCGCAAGTCCTCCAACCTTTTTCTGGAAGAATGATCTTTACTTGGACCTTTACTCATGCTATTTATTGATAGAATATGGGGCCATGTAAAGAGTTTTAGCAATAGTTTCTGATATTTGCCACACACCTGTCCTAGTGCTTCAGTGAAACCTTCTAAATTGTCATTTCCTATCCAGTCTTCATTTTTCTCTTTCTTAATGAAGTGAGATTTTTCTGCAATATCCTTGTCAATTAAATGTCTTTCTAAAATAGGTTCACTGATATGAACTGACCTGATTCCTAGTGCAGTAGCCTGATTGGGAGGAAACAGATAATCAGGTGTAGGAAGGGTTTCCTCAATATTAACAACATACTCCTGAGCATTTAAGATTTGCCAAGACCTTTTCATTTTTGACTGCCAGATGTCTAAATGCATGCCATAGGAATAATCAAAAACAGTTCTTTTGAAAAATTCGCTGAAGTTTAACCTGGTGATGTCGATGGGTGGGTCGTACCACCATTCCAACATAATTAGTGTGTTATCATGCGAAGAAACTGGACAGTCGATTCCGTTGGTGGATTCAAGTCTTACAGCGGTCGCCTGTGACATTGAACAGCTTGATATGAGTTCATTTGAATCATTATTTAAGGCATTTGTAAGACGACATTTTAACGCAAAGGTTAATCTTGGATTATCCCAAATATCACTTTCAATAATTGGCAATTCAAATTGAAGACCAAAATATTTATTCAAGAGAAACAGTTCATTTAAACTATTAGTTTCCAATTGGGCAACATAAGACTTTGAACTCTTTCTTGGTGATCTGATGTGGCAAACTGAGAACAGTTCAACAATATCATTATTTATACCTGATTTGATATCAAAGGCAAATTCTCTTTTTTTGGACACTTTTTTAGGGACTTTGGAAAATATTTTTTGTTTCAACTCTGACAGTTTGTCTAGGAGATAGGTCTCTTTCTCGAGATCTGACAAAGGGAACACATTTTCAATTTTATTCACAAGGTCTTTGATCTTTTTTACATCTTTTTTGGTGTTATTCTTGATTTTTTTTTGTTTTTTATTCCGGTTTACATCAGCAATGGTCCAACCAGGATGTTTTTCCATCATTCGTTGAATAAAATTGTATCTAAGCCTTACTTGTGTTCTGGTTCTTGTTTTCATTTCTTTGGCAATTTTTGACCAGTTGTGAGAACCACAGTCATTTAAAAGCTTTAATAGTTTCTCGTCTTCTTCAAGTGACCAAGTACCTGTCTTTGTTGTTTTTGGTAAGAGGTATCGCTCATATCGTTCACGGATTTGAGTAGATGTTCTATGCTTCAAGAACAACGCCAACTGCTTGAAAGTTGCACCAAACACTTCAATCCCTGATACAACTAACAGATCTTCCTCCTTTGAAAACTTTCCTTTGACTATATCTGGATTTAAAGTGTGTGACCATCTAGTATATACTTGATCATGGTTTCGATTCCCCATGAAGGAGGAAACTTTACCCCAAGGTATATAATTTCCCAGTTTCGATGAATTTATTACTGTCAATAGTTTCTTATCTTCTTTTTTTGTCCACTTGCCGCTAGACAAGTTATTACTCCCCTCTAATCTAGCTTTATAGTGCACTATACATTGATATCCAGTTCGATTTGTCCCCAATAGTTCAGCAATTTTATCCCAATCTTGATATTGATGTTGAGCCGCTAATTCTATTAATTTCTTATCTTCTTGATCACTCCAACAATCTTTATTTATTGCAGGTTTTAAGTAAAGATTCCAAAAAACCTTACATTCTTCAGATGAATGTTGTCCATCAAACAATGAACTTGAAAATTTCATCCAATCATAATCTCTGTTTTCATTTTCACCCGCTATAAGCTCCTTCAGAGGCATTTTATAAAGCCCTTTTAATTTTTCTTGTTTTTCAGTTATTTTTTTCACAATACCCTTCACCAATGATTTGGACTCTTTTTTACGTTTTGATGTTTCTCGTAAATCTTTTTTAAGTTCTGCGATTTCTTTGGTCAGCAATGTGGATTGTTCAGAAACAAGACAATTTTTGATTGCAGTTTGCATCATATGCTTGTGTGTCTTGGTCCAGTTGTAAGTCTTGGGAAGTGATTGGATTTCTAATTCACCATTTTTTTGTTTCTGATAGTGATCTTCATTGTAGGGAGCATTGAAGCCTCTCTGGTCTGAGAAGTAGGGGGCACCAAATTTTCTAAAATAACTTCTTGAAGAACATAGCTCAATAGACTTGTTTTCATTTAATTCTATAAATTGAATAACTTCAGTTTGTTTGTATTTGATTTCTGTTAATGTAACAATAAGCTGATTTTGGAGTTCTGTTAGACACTTTATCTTTTTTGATATAACATTTCCCAGGTCCATTAATTTCGGTAGGACTTTTTTCTTTAATTCTTGCAAGGATGCATTCCCGACACAGACCATGTCATTTGAGGATTCAAATTTCTGTTCTTCCAACACAGGATCTTTATGAAGCCTATCCTCGTTTTCATATATGTTATCAACATTTCCATTTGTAGGCACATGTTCATTAGTTCCTTCAGTTTGATCGAATGAGGATTGCTGTGATAAATGGTATTTATAAACTCCTGAAGCCATGTAACCCATAACTCGCTGATTTATTTCATCATCTGCACATTGTATGAAACAATCTTCACATCTTGAAATATGGCTGTTACTTAAAACTTCAATTGAATCATTGGATTTAGGTTGAGGTACAAATTCTTCTCCATTGCAAGATTTGGTATCTTCAAAGGGACACGATTCTCCATTTTCAAATAGGCTGTTTTCTCCAGTTGGAAAGTCATCTGTTTCTTTTGCTGCTTCCATCAATACTTTTCTGTTAGATATAAATAACATTTCTATTTCCACATCTTCCTCCATATTTCTAGCTCTTAATTGTACCTAAAACAAAAATCACGTTAGTATTTCATTAATAACCAGCTGTGTACCAGTTCATCGAACGGGGATTGAATGAAATATAACTTACAAGACAAACAATACAATGAGTAAAAACTCTAGCATTTAATTTACAGTAATAATAAAAAGAAACAGTTATAACTACCACAATAGTAAATACAGTAAATTAAAATCAAATACAACAAGGAATTAATGACAGTTACACTATTAAACATTATGATAGTACAGGGGTACCCATCCCTCCCTAGACTCAAGACACAACCCCCCCCCCCCCCAATTGACCACCAGCCCCCCCCCCCAAAATAAATGAGGTACACAACAGATGTGAAACATTCCCCCTCCCAGCATTATTTGTAAAGCTAAAAGACAATTTTTATAGTTTTATAGACTTTTTCGATTTTTAAAATTCAAATCCAGTTAATCTACAGGGTGCGGCAAAAAAACCTATTTATTTTCTGCAGAGCACTGTTCAGCGACAGGTCGTCCGAGAATGGCGGGAGTAGGGTCGTTGGAAAGCCTACACGATGCCAATTTTTGTAGTAATAGAGCAGTGGTCGCCTGAGCTAGTGTGGTTGTTTTGGAGTCGTTTTTATAAAATAGTGAATTCATTCATTGCTACTCAGCGGCAGTTTCATGCATTCTTTAAATTAAGGCGACATGGAGAAGTTCCGTTGCGTAGCACAATAATGCGGTGGGTTAGTTACTTTAGGACAACGGCTTCTGCCTTGAAAAGGAAGCTGACAGGCCGTCCAAAGTCAGATCGGACGCCAGACAAGAAACATTCGATAGAGTTTGTGCTGCTGTGAAAAACAGTCCTCATAGGCCCGCCTGAAAACAAGCGGCTGTCTTGAACATGTCTGACCGCTCAGTTATACGAATTTTGAGGTTAGTTTTCATTCCTATGGATTAGAATAATAATCTGTATAATTTGGTAATCATCCATACAGATAATCACGACGGAACCTCTCTATGTCGACCTAATTGAATAAAAGCACGGAACTGCCACTGAGTTGCAAAAAAATAAATCATTACTTTTTAAAAAGGACTGGATAACAACCGCACGTAGCTCATACAACCACTGCTCTATGAGTACTAAAAATGGCTTTGTATAGGCTTTCCAACGAGCCTACTCCCACCACCCTCAGAAGACCTGTCGCTGAACAGTGCGCTGCAGGAAATGGATCGGTTTTTTTTGCCGCACCCTGTATATCAATAAAATAAGAGTGTTGTCTGTACATTGCTCAGAATTATACATAATTTTGGTTATTTTTAGGTTTTAAACATTAAAGAAGTTGAAATCTTTCTTATCTCAATTTCTGTCTGCCTGTCACGGCCCAGAAGGCATTTTACGCAGCCTACTCTAAGGAAAACTAGAGTGTACCGATTATGATTCTAATAGTTTAATTGTTTTGGCAGGATTAGCGAGAGTGTCCGTTGCCAATCAAATATGGCGTCACTATTTTGGAAATAAAATAACGGACGATCAAAATAGTTATTTGTGTAACTAGTGAACAAAGTGGCACTTTGCTGCACACGAGAGCAACGTTTACGGAATGATCTCGAGTGCAGCAAAGGCCTTTTGCACTCGTGTTACACATTATATTTTTCCTACAGTCCAAGCGTACACGAATTACGTGCATAATAGAACCACGCTGTTTTGTGTTGTTTCGTTGGAATCCTGATGTGCGCCAAAGTATAAACCGTACGACAAAGTATAAATATGCAGCAATTAGCAGCTTTCTGGTTAATTTTCAAAAATATTACCGAAACTACAGAAAAATATTTAAAACTGTTTGTGATAAAGCTAGAAAATTGTTTAACTGTAAGATAATATCAAGTGCTGATAACAAAAGTAAAGCTGTATGGAATGTTGTGAAGTCTGAGCTTGGAGTTTTAAATGCCAAAAAAGTAGACTTCCCGGATGTGTATGTAGAAGATCAACAGGTAAAAGATGGTCAAATCATTGCTAACTTCTTTAATGAAAAATTTGCTAATGTTTCCAAAGATAATAATTTTAACTCCTGTATCTATACAGCAACTGAGCTAGCAAATAAAATTTATATTAATTCGGATATAAAATTTCAATTCAGACATATAACAGTATTAGAAGTTAAAAAAACAATTAAAAAATTAAAAAACAAAAAATCAGTTGGATGGGATGAGATTCCTATTGAAATAGTTAAGAATATAACAAATTTTATTGCACAACCGCTTTGTCTAATAATTAACCAATGCTTTGATGAAGGAATTTTTCCACATCAACTGAAAAATGCAGAACTAAAACCACTGTATAAAAAAGGTTCGCCGGGAAATCCTGAAAACTATCGTCCCATATCCATTTTACCATGTTTATCAAAGGTTTTTGAAAAACTTGCATACAACCAAATTTATTCATATTTTGAAAGCAATTTCTTATTCACAGAAAAACAATTTGGATTTAGATCTGGAAAAAACACAACAATGGCTGTCTCAGAGTTCATAAATCAAGTATCGGCTGGCCTGGATGGATCACAGAGTACTGCGGCGGTGTTCTGTGATCTATCCAAGGCGTTTGATTGTGTAAATTATGACGTTTTAATGAGCAAACTTCGACATTATTCATTTTCTGACATGGCTTTGTCTTGGATTGATTCTTATTTAACTAACAGGAAACAAAGAACATCAATTATAAAAAATGGCAAAAAGTTTATCTCGAATTGGCACGAAGTTAAATGTGGTGTCCCACAAGGCTCGATATTAGGTCCTTTATTATTTTTAATTTTTGTGAATGATGTACCTCAAAATGTATCTTCTAGCCTCATATTATATGCTGATGACACTACAGCCATAGTTAAAGCAAAAGATATACCCAATCTAAAATTAGAACTCAACAGCTCACTTATAGATTTGTCCAGTTGGTTTACAGTAAATGGGCTGCAACTCAATAGTTCTAAAACACAGGTTATGTTATTTCAAACAATCCAAAATAGAGAGAATCAAAATTTTGAATTACGCTATCAAAGCGATATTTTACCTTTTGTTGAACATACAAAGTTCTTAGGTTTAATAATTGATAGAAATTTAACCTGGAAACCACATATAGACATGATAGTAAAGAGACTGAATACAGCCTGTTCTCAAATGTATGTTTTAAGGAATATAATTGATTTGAAAACTAAACTTACTGTATATTATGCAATGTTTTATTCCATCATGCAGTATGGAATTGAACTGTGGGGCTCAACGTCATATGCTGACACAGTTTTTAAAAAACAGAAGAAATTTTTACGAATCTTATCTTTTGCACCAAAAAGAGCATCATTTAAACCTATTTTCAAAAAATATGACATATTAACAATGCCTTCTTTATATATATTTAAAATGATGGTTTCCTTCAAAAGTAACTACCAATCATACGACAACAATCAATTTATCCATCAATATCCGACTCGTTTTAAAAATAATTTTAAATTTCCAAGACATCGCCTCTGTCTGTATGAAAGATCTCCATTCTATATGAGTCTCAGACTTTACAACAGTCTACCTGCCAAATTCAGAGAAATTACCAATATTTCAAAATTCAAAAACGAGTTTAAGATCTATCTTTTACAAAAACAGTTTGAGTCTATTTCTGAATATTTGAATAACAGTTAAACATTTTTTTTTTTTATTACAGTAGGCCTACATTTATTTAGTTTATAGGAATGTTTTGTAAATCTAGTTTTAATAATGGACAATGTCACCTGTTTCATCAGCATTGCTGAAAACTTGAAATGTATTGTGACAATAAAGGAATATTTCATTTCATTTCATTTCATTTCATTTCATTTCATTTCATTTCTGTACTATAAAACAGTACAAGGAAGCCAACTTTGTCGGGTGACTGTAGGAAAACCCTATTTTGTGTGATTTTTCAAGTTTTTTCTCCACGTTTACTACATACGTCATTTATCAAATACTAATCATCTGTTAACTTGTTCAGTGCTGACTACATCAATTGATGTAGTCACGCCACGAGCAGCCTACATCAATTGATGTAGTTGCGCACCCCCCACTACATTAGTTCAGTATGAGCTCAGCCATTGCCGGGGAACGTTAAAATCGTTACTAGCGTCTAGCTTAGAATGTGAGCTTTATTTTGGTATAGGTTGGTACTAAAATTTCCCTTAAAATTCCGTCTGACAATGCTTTTGTCCCGGTTTCGGCGATTTTCTCTCTTCAAGCCATATTACAAAGCCACTGACTAGTGATCCAGGCAGTGCTGCTACCTTTGGGTGTTTTAGGGAACTACGTCCAATCTCTGGCTAACGTAGTACAATCGCCGCTGCTCTTTTGTTATTTGTCAGATTGAAATATTTTAATGCAAATTTCATTCGCTGTTACGGTTCCACGCCGGGGCTTTGCCCGGGCCTCGCCGCCATTGGCGAGCGCCTGTTGGAATGCCTGCCGCACTGAACGTGTTAAGAGAATATGTCATATACGAAATTACGAACAGCTGTTTGGATAAAAGATTCCTTTTTCTAGCTGTCACTGATGTTTACATAAATTTTGTTTACGGATACTGTGTAGGCCCTAACCATTACCGATCTAAGTTTGTAAGCAAATCAAAAACCAAGTGAGATTAACAAAAGTTTTTTGTGAAAGCCGCAAACAATTTTTTTTGCTTAATCTACTTTAACCAAAATAATTCTTTCGGATTTAATTTGATTTTATATACAGTAAATATTGATTTTGATAGTTAATAAATCTAAAAATGATACTACGTGTGCACCAAAGTGTGTATTCCATGAAGAAAGGCTGCTTCTTTTAGCACTTTTTTAACT